CGTCAAATTCATGATTTAGAATATACAATGATACTAAATAATTTACGATCCAGTCATATAACACCAACTTAATACGAAACTCTCTGTGGCCGTATAATATCAGAAAATAAAATAAACTCTCCCGAATAGAGAAATGCTGTATTTTTAGTTCGAAGAAATGACTTAAGAATCCAAATCAACTTCGAAGCCACGATCAAACATGCCAAAAACCGCAACCAACCTATTTATTACATTTGTGCTAAAGACACGTACAAAAACAAACCTGTTCACAGTAATATACAACAAAAATTTCTAAGTGTATCAGACACGAAATCAAATGCTCTCTGTGGTATATTACCACTATCAATAGGCATGAAAGTGGCTTTGACAATTAATATTTGTACAATTGACGGTATGGTAAATGGTGCCCAGGGCATTCTTCATGAAATCGTATATGACAATACATCAGCGATTGTAAAAAATACAAATAACGAAGGAGAAAAAATTGTCATTTCTAACAAACCTTCTAAATACAATTGTTGATTTAGATGGTGGAAACAGAAAAGAAAGTATCTATGTAATGTTATCACGAATACAAAGACTGAAAGATCTTATGATACTTCAACCTTTTAATCAATCAAAACTCAATATGTCTATGGACTCTGACCTTAAAAGAGAACTTGAACGTCTCGAAAAACTCTCTAAAATAACTGAACAACTAATTACATGGCCTGACGCTACATCTTATGATTGAATAATAAAAACTGTGTAACAGCTGTAACGAAACTAAGAATATAGAACAACCCTAATGTTTACTCCATTCGACGTCTCTATTATTCTTACACGTATATTAATTTACTTTATGTCAGAAATAAAGCGCGAAAATTAAATGTAAACTAAAAAACAATAATCAATAAATAAACTTCAAATAACATATTCATAACCTAAACTAAACTATAAAATAGATTAAAATCAGTAATGCACCAAATTTCTTGATATACATTTGCAAATATATCTCAAAAATATGAAATACTATTTTTCAAAGTTTAAATAAGGCCTTAGACTCCTATGTCATAATTATAAAAAACATGAAAAGAACTAATTTCTTAATTATTATTATAAATACATTGCTCATTATCATTTTAACATACTAATAGCCATATTTTATTTTTCTTATTATATTTATTATTTATGTCATAATTACCTAAAGCAGTATAAATTAATTATATTGCAATACTGATCTTATTTAACACTACGATAATAACATATTTGAATGATCATAATCGTACTATTACATATGAATTTTTCAGATTTGATACTAAATAACAAAACGATGATTTTTTTTTATTTTTTACTTTTTATGTTTTTTTTTATATATTTTAAAGAAGATATTTAAATGAAAATATAATGTGATAAAACTGACAAAACAAATAAAAACTATATACATGAAATTAATCTTTCTTATTCACATCCTTAGACATCCCAGCTTGACTTCTCGTATTATGCACTATAGGTTGTGTTACCCTCTCTTTGCCCTTATTTCCCTTTCTATAATTATGCATAATTACTTTATCTTCATTCACAACATTGACTTCACGCTCATCACTATTACCTGCATGTTCCTTATTATGTTTGACTATTTGATCATGATAATTATAATCAAGACCAACATTTCTAACAAGATCCTCTTCATCCTCCATACAACTGTCCTCACCTTCAACAATATCAGATCTTACACGTTTTAAAGAACGAGAATCATCAATAGTTAAATCCACCGAATATTTATCTGCTTCAGTTGAAGATGCTTTAGATGCTTTTCATTAACATTCTGATGAGCAGTTAAAAGCCTTGCTCGAACAGATCTATACACTTCAGACGTGGTTTGAATATTACTCGAACTGGATAGTTTTTTTTTTAGCTACAGATCCAACCTCAACATAAGAAGTATCAGCAGCATACACGTACAGATCTTCCTGTATAACTTAAATATGTTCGACAACAAAAAGTACTGATTCACTTGGACGAACTGAATTCATTAAATACTTAAATCGACTGTTATGATGTGGGAACACAACCTTTATAATAAAACTATAATTCTGACCAGCATAATCATTCACTAACAATTTCAACATTGCACTCTTATCATTAACCTCTTCCGGAATATCTTGAACAACACCTACTAACAAAGCTTTTAACGGACATCTGTTTGAACCAAGATCTCTCCTGATTGTAAGATGAGTTGACGATACAGCCGTCATCTAAATTTAATAAGATTAATAACCACTAACTTAAACACACCTTAACAAATATAAATAAATTTTACTTTTAATCTTAATCTACAATTATAAGTTCCAGGTACAACTTTTCCACAGATGCTATAATATTCGCCTTTTACGAATACTGACTGAATATTAGGATCTCTCTCATCTTCGTTTACTGGAACGAAAAGAACAATCTCTATTTCACAGTCTTCACTTTCAACAGGATACACGCCTAATCCCCACACGATAGTCAGATTTGATTCATCTTTATCAGTTTGTCGAACTTGAATAATTTTCACAATCGTATCAACACAACACGGCATTGCAAACTGCTAAAAAAACTAATAAATAATCAAAACTACTTATATTCACTTCGATTATAACGTATTTTTCCCAGAACATATCACATATGTCTATCAAATTAAAAATAACCTGATGATTTATGAGAAAAATAAAAAAACCATATGAACTTCTCACGAAATATTTCATACAAACTCATGTCTAATTTCCTACACACACGATCTTTCGTAAATTTATTAACTAAGCATTAAAAAAAACCATGATTTGTTCAGAGATTGATCCAATTTGGCAACCCGCATTGAGAAATAAAGATATACTTAATGAGATCTTCTTAAATAATGGTGTTGTTGAGAGTGTGGATAAGTATCAATTATTTTGTCAAAAGGATTTTCGCGAGCATATTATTCAACTAGTTCGAATTCATTTCTTTTCACATCTATTAATTCCGACTGAAACTCG